ATTGAGGTCTTCCAGCATAGAATTTAAACAGGATATAGTTTATATACTCGTTTAAAAATAGGATACTAGATCCATAAAGAGCACACAGATGACTCTAAAAGAACAAACCTAAGAATTTTAGATGTAAAGAAGAGCCAGAGAAGGAAACTAAATGTATTTAAAAATATATTCACCAAAATCATTGCAGAAAACATTTCAGATTTAGAGACTTAAATGGATGTCAAGGTAAACAGCATTTAGAACACTAGACACAACTGGAGTAGAAACTCCTTGGCACATCACAATAAAATCCCAGAAATTCAGAACAAGAAAGGACTATTAAAAACCATTAAACAAATTAACATCAAATGACTTATAAAGGTAAGTCTAAAAGAACAACAGCAGATTTCTCAAAACAAACATTAAATGCCAGGACAGCTTGGAATGAAGTTTTTGAAGTCCTAAAGGAAAATAACTGTCAACCTAGATTACTGTATCTTACAAAATTATTCTTTAAAATCAATAGTGAAATAAAAATCTTCCATGACAAATAGAATCAAAGAAATTCATGACCAACAAACCTGAATGGCAGAGAATATTTGAAGTAATTCTAAACATAAACAGCAAGGCCAATATCACCAAAGAGCCCAACAGAAGAATATTCCTCACTAAGTAAACAAAAGATATACTAGAAATAAATCACCCTCTTGAAAAGAAAATCTACAGAATAGTAAAAATTTTAGCCAGCTTTCCCTCAGATAAAGGACTTATAGCTAGAACATATAAAGAATTGAAAAATATCAGGCCCCCCAAATTCAAAAACCCAATCAAAAAATGGGTGTGGGGGCCCCACCCAGTGACCCTGAGTGGCAGGGAACCACCTGCCCTGAGTGTTTGAGCTAAAGGCCTGTACAGCAAACTACAGTCAGCCGTGTAAGGTCGGCACTTCCCTCAGAACCTAATAGGGCCTGCCCAGTGCCCCCAAAGACCCAGGGGCCTGCAGTAGGTAGCTTGGGTCTTGGCTGTGCCCTGTCCAGTGATCTTGAATGGCAGAGGAACCTCCTGTGTGGGATGGTATGAGCTGAAGTCCAGCATGGCAAACTCCACCTAGGCGTGCAACCTCAGTACCTCCCCTAAGATCCCTAATAGGGCCCCACCCAGCATCCCTAAACAGCAGGGGAGCTTTGGTGCACTGTGGCATCAGCTGAAGGCCTGCACAGCATACTCCATCTAGCTGTTCAACCCTGGTATGACACTCAAACCTGGTAGAGCCCTGCCCAGCAACCTTGAGCAGCCAGGGAGCTTTGGAGGGCCACACGGGATGTGCTGAACGTCCTCTCAGTGTACTCCCCCAATTTGAGAGGCCACTAGGGACCTCGTAAGGCCTGCCTGAAGACCCCACTCAACTGGGGAAACTCCCTGCAGTACAGAAAGACATCCTCAACCCAGGAAACAACTGAGATCTTGCATTGGGCTTCCCCAAGAGAACAGGAAAATGACAAAACAAAAGAGCAAAGTGCAATCTAAATATGGGCATCTGAATGAATACACACTTCTCAGATGAAGACATACAAATGTATGGCAAATAAATATACGACAAAATGTTCAACATCACTGGTCACTAGAGAAATTCAAACTAAAACAACATTGAAATTCCATCTCACTCCAAAAAGCATGGTTGTCAAGAAATCAACTGATAACAAATATTGGTAGGGCTCTGGAGAAAAAGGAATGCTTTTTCACCATTGATGGCAGTGTAGACTGGTACAACCACTTTGGAAATCCTCATGAAGATTCCTCAAAAAACTAGGATTGGAAGTCCCATTTAATCCAGCTATTACCCTTCTGGGTATATTCCCAGTAAAACTGAACATTTCATGCCACAATAATATATATGCACCCATGTTTATAGCAGCACAATTTTTAATACCTAAATCTTGGAAACAACCAAATGCACATTAACTGAGGAATGAATAAAAAAGATGTGCCATTTTTATATAATGCAGTATTATTCAGCTATAAAGAAGGATAAACTTGAGGCTTTTATAAGTAAATGGAGGCAACTTAGACCATACTCGTAAGTGAAATAAATCAAACTCAATTTGTAAATATCATAGTGTCTCCCTAGTGTAAAAATAACTGAAAGGGTGATAGGATCCAAAGTGTACAACAGATATTACAATAATGAAAAGGAAAGAAAGTGCTCAAAAGGAAAGAACAACTGAGATAGGGGAAAGAAGAAAAGCAAGAAGAGAAAAGATTATATGCATATAGGTACACATATATTTAGGTGTGTTCATATATGTGTATATGCAAGATAGACAACTATGCTACTAATCTCTGTTCATCAAAAAGAACAGTTTGTGCTTTCATTGTCTGATTGATCATTTTTTTCATGCCTGAATCTTGTAACCTGAGCAACTGCTTGTTTGGTAGCAATATGCAATGTATCAACCAGTGTAAATTTGCTATTTTTTAATTCTGTAATTAATTTGCTATTTTTTAATCAGACAATAAAAAGAAACAAAGAGGATATGAGTAGGAAAGGAATAAATTAAAGTGTATTTATTTGCAGATGACATAATCCTTTACATAGGTGATTCAAAAAGACTCCAATAATGAAGTTACTGAAAAATAAAACCATTCGATTCAAAATGCTTTCAAAAAACTTGAATACCTAAGAATCAACCTAACCAAGATGTAAAAGACATCTATAATGAAAACTATATTACCTTGGAGAAAGAAATTTCAGGGGACATTAGAAAATGTTCCTGGATAGACAGAAACAATATTGTCAAAATGGCCATATTACCAAAAATGATATACAGGTTTAATGGAATTTCAATTGAAATACCAACAGCATTCACTGAACTAGAAAAACCCTAAAATTTATATACAGTCAGAAGAGATCAAAAAGCCAAACCTTTCTTGTGCACAAAGAGCAAAGCAAGAAGGATTATAAACCTGGATTTCAAGTGATCTACAAAACTTCAACAATAAATATTAACACCATTTTACTGGCAGGAAAATAGACATAGATTAGAAGATACAAAAACAATCCATATACCTTTAGCCATCTGATTTTTGACAAACCAGTTTTTTAAAAAATTGGGAGTGAAACCAGGTGTGTTGGCACACGCCTATAATCCCAGCACTTGGGAGGCTGAGGCAGGAGGATCACTACAAGTTCAAGACCATCCTGGGCTACAAAGTAAGCTTAAGACTAGCTTGAACCATATAGCAAGACCTTGTCTCAAAAAGACCAGAAAAAAAAATTGGGACAAAATATAGCTTTTTAACTAGTGATGCTTTGAACACTGGTGATACATGTGTAGAAGAATAAATCCAGACCCATATATCTCACAATACACTAAAATCAAATCAAAATTGATCAAACACTTACATATAAATACAGAAACACTGAATCTGCTCAATATAAATAAGCCAAACACTCGAAGACCCTGGCATAGGCAAAGACTTCTCAAACAGAAGGACCCCCAAATGCATAAGAATTAATATCAAGAATCACAAATGAAAATATACCATCTTAAAAGCTTCCTCACAGCAAAGGATATAATCAACAAAACAAAGGGTAAGAAAAGGTAAAGGGTAAGAAAAATATTTGCCAGCTACTACTGATAGAAGACTAATATCTAGAATATATAAAGAGCTCAAAAAATTAAGACTCAAAAACCAAATGACCCCAAAAAACCAAACTCTTCTCAACAGAAGCAGAATAGACAATTTGTACATGGAAAAAAAAAAAATCAACTTCTTTGGCCATTAAAGAAATGCAAATCAAACACCAAGATTCCATCTTACTTCATTAAGAAAAGCTATTATCAAGGACTTAAGAAACATCAAATGTTGCCAAAGGTGGGGGGAAAAAAGAACCAAACTGGTGGTGGAAATGTAAACTAGCACAACCACTATGTAAATCAGTATGTAAATCCGTATGAAGATCTCCCTGCCTCCCAAAATTTAGAATTTCATTTGACCCAACTAAACTTCTCCTAGGCATCTTCCTGAAAGAGGTGTGATATATATACACACATGTTTATAGCAGTGTAATTCACAATAGCTAAATTATGGAAACAGCTTAAATGCCAACTGGCAGATGAACAGTTAAAGGAAAAATGAATTAATATATGAATTAATATATATGTCATAAAGGACAAATCTGAGTCATTTGCTGAAAACTATACAGACTTTGAGAACATAATTTTTAAGTGAGTTGAATCAGACATAATTAAGTATCACATGATTTCTCTTACATAAGAAACCCAAAATAGAAATAGTTGAAAGAGCAAAATAAAGGAGAGAAGAAAAGATACAAACAGGTAGATGTATTTTTGGAAATGGTAAAAAGGGATTTGGAGAAGGGACAAGAGGGAAAGATAGAAAGAAAGAAGAGGATCAAAAATGATAAGGATATATATATATATATTAATATATGTAATATGTATAATGAATGTATCTGTATACCAACATATACTAATAAAAAGTTAAAAAGTAGTAAACAACTTTCTCTATTGTTTGCAGCAAAAAAGCAATTTTCAAAGGTTTCTTTAATCCATATTTCTTTGGATATCAAGGGGTCATGAATAAACAATGCCACAGTTTCCTTCATCTTAGGGACTAATCTATGTTTGATTTGATTGACTGAATCCTCATTTATATAATCCAGTAGGTTTCATCTTCAATTCACATAAAGTGCTGTGAGAGATACAACATAACCCCACCCTAGTTGCACAGTTCTGGAAAGGTCAGGCCCTTCTCAGAGTTGTCTCAGTGCCTCACATCCAACTCTTTCATACGAATCTATTTATACACAAAAACTTTTCAAAAATCACTGAAGTAGTGCTAGTATCAATACCAATGATAAAAACTCTGTGTTCTATCTTCTAATTAAGTTTGATCATATAAACTACATGAAGAAACTTGCTCAAGAACTTACTATGTAGTACTAGCAAAAGAATATTGTGGTCTAACATGGCAACATTATTAATGATAAAGCTTACTTTAGAAAAGTCATCAAAGGCCAGTACTCTGTTCTCTTTTTCATAAGCTTGACCTCTCCTGAAATAGATATCAGCATCTGTGGGTCTGCACTTAATTGCCCAGCTATAGTTTAGAATTGTTAAAGTAATGTTGTTGTTGTTCTTGTAAATTTCAGCCTTAGACAAATACACATCTAAAAAAAAAAGATAAAACTTAGTCTTACAATCCTTTTAAACTATGCTTTTTTAAAAAAAATATAAAACCTTTCCCTCCAAAAATGTAGTTTAAACAATTATCATTCATTTTTTAAAAAATTCAATAATGCCAAATTTGTTCTCAAATAGATATACTCTTTTGTGGCTAAAAGTCATCTCAATTTGAAATGACAAAAATTACCTTTCACTTTTTTGTATGTCTAAAATGTTTATCATTTAATGACAATAGCAGCAAGACTTTGATGGCACAAAAGTTCATGAGATGTTAGTAGACAGACCAGCACTGGTCAAAAACATTTCTTAAGCTCATGTATCTATGAGTTTGTAGTAGGTGTCGGGCTACAAATAAAGAGTATGACATTTTTGTGTTCTGAGGACTTCCATGTCTAGTTGTTTGATTTGATTAGAGAATTTAACATATGACAAGATTATAAATTTAATCCAACCAAGAAGTCCCAGAAATACTACAATTCTCATTCCAAGATCTTTGTCACAAAAGATTTGTAAATCACTTCTAAAACTAGAATTTTAAGTTCTTATTCTTGTGAGATGAGCAGTTAAGTAAGCAATTTACTGTCATGAACATTTCAAACCATGATGAGTACTCTGAAAATGATACAGGATTGTCCAAAGCCTGCACTTCCATTACTAGGAATGAATAATTTAACTGAGGAGAGTCACAACTATGTTTACATAACTTATATCTGGTTTATATATATATTTATAATAAAAGATGATAAAAATTGAGATGAAATATAGGTAATAAAACTGTCTCCAGAGACAACCCACCTGCATTATTTTTATTATGTTTATTTATATAATTCAAGTCATCCAAAGCCTCAATAATTTTGTCTTCAAACAAATAAATGAAATGCCGGTGCCAATAGGCATTGAGAAACAATGGCTCCAAGAGAATAGCCTAGAAAATACATATTTAAATTCAATTAAAGCCAAAGGAAAAGATCTTATTAAACAAATTTTTCGAACACTGTTGATCTCAATGGTTTTGCATGTATATAAAACATCCCAATCTAACAAGCAAAAATCTAGTTTTTAATAATAACTATTTAAAAATAGCAATAATTGTATTTTCACAATCCCATATATGACAATAATTCATTATTCAAAATTCCAGTTAAAATACTATGCAATTAAAATCAATGTAAATAGTGAATATAAGCCTTTTTATAGAACTTACTTCCTGTAGATCATTCATGGCACTCTGTAATTTGCCCAGTTTCCTAAAAATTGCTCCACGTCTACAATAGGCAAATGCAGGAAATGTTTTCTTGTCTTTGATTTCTTCAGTCAAGACTTCTATTTCAGATTCATAATATTTTATAACCTCTGGTGGGAGATCACATCCCAAAGAATCACTTAATTGTGCTGTTTCAGGTTCTTCTGTGCTTTCCGAAAAGTCTCTTTTTACAGTGATTTCAGCCTGTCTGGTTCTTTTCTGAAGTTGATCTTTAAAGAGTATATCGTGAACCCATATGTAAGGATTACTATTTTCTAGCATTCCTCCTTTCCTTTCAAAAAATTTATCAAAATTTAAAGACACAGGAAGGCTGGGACTCCGTATTATACGTTCATATAATGGAACTTTGAGTAAATGTTTCTTCTGTCCTGGAAGTATTCCATGTGATGCTGATCTAGTTTTAAAAGGAATGATCTTTGAGTTACAAAAATATCACTGGTCAATAAATCAATTCAGTTACATACAAAATTACTAGTTTTCTGTTACCAAAATAAAATTACATGTTAACTTTATACAACCTAAGTTTATTTTTCATTCATTAAAATTGTAACAGTATGAAGAATCTCTGTGAAGTTTATAAAAGCAAAGTTGACTGTTTTTAAGGTAGAATACTAGTGTACTGAAATACTCAGGAAGCTCTTTGAGGCTTAATTGATATATTCTATCCTCAGCTTCTACCAGGAGAATTACAATGAGGAATTAATAGAAGGAAAGAAAGTTCACCCCAGATGATATAGAGGTCGTGAATTTGAAGAAATAGGAATAGCCAGGAGTGGTGGTGCACGCCTGTAATACCAGCACTCTGGAGGTAGACAGGAGGATCGCCATGAGTTCAAGGCCAGCCTGCACTACACAGTGAGCTCAATGCCAGTCTGAACTACATAGCAAGATCCTGTCTCAAAAAAACAACCCAGAGAAGAGCAGAAATAAAGAGCTGATACAAGGCAGACTACCAAATAAGCATCATACACTTCACCCTTCTCCAGTAAACTATCACATTAGATAACACAGTACAATTTCAAGTGCTTCGGGCTGTGATTTTTCTCATAAAATTTTTCACTGGCAACATAGCTTTGATGTTATTAACATGTGGCATGCCTGGTATTATACTGGCCATGAGAGACAGGATAGACACATTGTATTGAAAACCAAAACATTTTCAAAGTTATCGTTTTGGAAGTATCTACTAAGTATACACTATGAAGAAAAAGTTACAGCTACAAACACTAGAAACGAACACTAGAATAAGGTAAACAAAAAAAAAGTCAGTTTTCTTCCCTCTATAACTTACCCTTTCGTACATTCCCCATTCCTCGTCACACTTCAGCGAAAGTCCCCATCGGATCTACATGGAATACAGTAATTTCTCAATTCCCTCCTTCCACCCTTGCTCATTGCACAATCTGTGCTCCATATAGCTTTCAACAAGTGTTTTAGGAATGAAAACTGCTCATGTCACTCTCTCTAAAAGCTACCCCTGGTGCTGAGAACATAAATCAAACTTTTCAGAAATCCTACAGAATTTCACATGATGTGGGTCCACTTTTCAGGCACATGATCCAGAACAACTCTCATAACTGTTGCCCTTTCAAGCTTCTAAATTCATACTTCTGACCAAAACATCTCAGAAGGGACTTTTGTGTGTAGTGTTTTGTTTGTATCTCTACATTTATCTCCACCATTTTCCACCTCAATTCACACCTTAAAAAGCTAATCTGTACAGATTATATTCCTAAATTCCCTTGTCTTGTTTTCTTATTCAGTGTGTCCAATTAGGAATTCCAATAAAGGGAAAGAGAAAAATCAAGGCAAGGTGTCTATTCTTCTGGCTCCTTCATGAAGGATCAAGTCAAGCTGACTATGACCCTTGACCAAAGGTCACTACTTCCTTCAAGGAAACCTTTTCTATACAACTCTTTTATTCTTCTGCTCAGGTATAGTTTATTCTTCTGCTCTCAAATTGAATGGTAGAAAGTGGTTTACTATTTCTAGCTATAGGACTCAGCACTGTCACTGGTGGTTTCCCTAAATCCTCTACTTTGTAAGTTGCTCCTGTACCACACTGTCCCAGAATATCCTAAGCTGAGTGCCATGTACTATTAGAGACAGGCTGACATGGTAATTGGAACTAGGGAGGACTCAGGAAACACACTCCTAAAGGATTCCAGGATAGCCTCATCAGGGTAAAATCAGACACAGGTATAGTTTATGGCATATGGTAGTATCTGAACTTCTCAAATTATGATCAGCAAGGAATGATTTTTAGGTAAGAGGCAATCCACTGGGAAATCAAGTAGCTATCTATCCCTTAATAGGAAAATAATAATGATTATAGTGTGCAATCATTTAACTACTTTTTCAGAACAAAAGAAGAGTTGCAGTACATGTTAAATACCCAATCTTACACACCAAGGAATGATCCTATTAGGAAAGAAATAGAAACTGAAATATGAGGTGTGAACATGTGGGCAGACAAAATATATGAAAATGATGCACTTTGACTCCCTACTTCTCAGCCATAAAGGTGACTTTCCTCACCTACGTCCCTCCACTATCCTGTCATACCTTAGAGCCAGCCAAAAGAAGAGCAAAACAAACTTCCTCCTTTAAATTGTGAGTGCTGGATATTATGTCTTGGCCACAAGGAATGTGTCTAAGATATAATTCCTCTATAGTGGGAACAGGGTCATGGTTTATGTGCGTGGCCCCCAGGCCTCATGCGCTTACATTACGCATTTGTGATTGGTTCATTGTCTAGCACTTGGATTGGGGGTGTGAGTGCTATACCAGCCTAGGGATGGAGCCAGGATGTGATGTAATGGCAGGAAGAAGACGTGTGTGTGTCTCTCTCTTGCCCGTTTCACCTTGCTGTTTGCAGCCGCCATGAACTGCGGCCCCACTGTGCCAGCCTGCCTTGGAGCCAACTGAGTATGGACTGAAACCTCCAAAAACTGTAAGAAATAAACCTTCCTTTGTCAACTTTGGGCTTCAGGTATTTTGTCTCAGCGACGAGTAAAAAGTAACTAAGACAAATAGTAAGATTCTGGGATGGCAATTCAAGCTAAAATCACTTTGTCACATGGCAGACACAATTACCAAAACAGCAAAATGATAATAACAGAATTTTAACTTGCAAGGGTCTGTAGCAATAAATAAATCACTCCAAGCCCTCAGATATAAGACAGCCCGGCAGCCTGTTAAGGTGTTCTTTAACTTTACACAGGTGAGAAACTTGGAAGTCTTCTAGGCGTAAACCTAACCAGTACAGTGTGGGTTCACACCTCTTACTCAGCTCTTGGACCTAAAATGACTTTGCAGTCCAAAATCTCACTTGAGAGAAAAGCCAAGTTCCACTAAGAAAAGATACTCTCAGGTGGTCCAGATGTTTATGGTGAAATTCCCTCAGAACTTTCCAAAAGTGTGAGAAAGGAAAACCAAATCTTTGCAGAGGTTTTAAGACGGTGGCTCAAAATTTATGCTCAGTCACCAGTAGCAGTCAAATTAGGAAATTATGAAAGTCAAATGTTAAAAATTGTCTTGTCTTGGAACTATCTAACAGTGGATCCAGTATTACTGGGAAAATTATAGTCTATCTGACTAGAATTTAGCCTAGACATTATGCAGGACCATACATGTACTAAGTGGCACAGTTAACATACAAATTGTTGCCCCTGCTGTGTAAATGTAAACTTCGTCTCTATTTCCTAAATTACAGGAATGCAAAGGAAAGCATGCCAGGTCTACACCTGCAAACCAGGTGCCAGGAATTTTTTTCATTGCTTCAGTAAATATGCCTACCACATCTGGAACTAAAGTTATAATTGTTAATACCACCTGATTAACTTCGTAATTATTTATATTCACGTTCTACAAGCTATCTGGATTTTACTCTGGCCAAGCAGGAAAGTAAAGTGGAGCTGAGGTAGGAATTGCCATCTTCATCTTTCATGTTTTAGGTGCACCATCTCTGGTGGTGCACTTAATCTGTAATTTCTCACAGTGATTTGGTATTTCTTTTCCTTTGCTGTCTTGGTGGATGTTAATGCGATGGGATGAGTGTCATTACAGAGCTTTATTCTTGGACTGTGCTTTATTCACTTAGGAAGTTTAAAAAGTCCTACTACACATTCTAGGAAAATTATCACTTGAAGGTCCCTTGTGTTAGTAGGTCCACTGCTAGCTGGTCCATTCACATATATTCTTATAGATACACATGCATTAGAAAAAATCAAATAGTATAGAAGTTTATAAAATAAAAACCTGAAAGTCTCTACCTACCCTCCAACTCTGCATAATGACTGCAATAGTACAATGTGTTTAATTCTGGCCTTTTTATGTAGCTACACAAACAAACATTTTAACTACATACATGTATATACATACACATATGTTAAAATATACTCCCTTGTAAACGTCCAAAAGTATATTCATTGCAACTTAATGATAGCACTACTGTATTTTCCAAATTTTTACAATGTTTGTTTAATACGTATACCAAATAAATATAACGAACTTTTAAAAGAAAAGTTCTGGCTCACTGAAATTGAAGTGCCAATCTTTCTAAATGATCAGAAAAGAGGATTTACTATTTATTTCCACACCAAAAGGAAAATATTTTTCCCGTACTGCAAATCCAGACCAATGTTTTCATAGCTATGAGTATAGTTCACAGTTTCTCATTTGGAGAAATCAAATTAAGTTAACATCCTAGTTTACTTGGCAGTATAAGAAAACTAGGCTCTCAAGTTGAAATGTAAGTACACATAATTAGCTGGAGATGAGCTGTGAGACTATTTGAGGAAACACAGAAATTTGACACAGTTTAAATATTTTGCTCAGCATGTGAAGTTTGCGTAAGAATAAGGTCAGTTTTACTACCAGAATCACGGGATCTTTGAGCTGGACACTACTTCAGAAACCACATAGATAAGTTCCTTATCTTCCAAATGGGAAAACAAATAGCCAAAGAAATTAGGCAGTTTGGCCTGGCCATCAAAGACTAATTGGATGGGTGTTGGAATACAGATAACCGAGTCCCTGGTTCATAGTCCTTGTTGCTGGAGCATAATTGCTCCTAGCTCTTATATATAGAAGCACAGAAATAAGCAAAAGCCAAAGATTTGCCAGCAATTTTTGGCAATACCCATTATTTCTAGAGTAGAATGAATGCATTTGCGTTTCTGTAGTAGCCAGTTATGCTACACATATTTTCATGTGTTTACTGGCCCTTCTTACTTCTTACTCATTTTAGTGGCCCATTTCTTGATCAATTCTTTTATTTAGGGGCCTAATTTTTTTTATTTCTTTACATATCATAGCTGATGCTCACATCAGAAAAACAGAGTTTAAGAATTCTTCAAAAGAATAAATAAATAGAACAATTCTTAGCCAATT